AAATTTGATTATGATCGAATTTTGAGGGACGTTTCTTCAAAAGAAAATTTTGAAAAACACGGCTTATTCCGATTTTTGAGGTTTTAATGACGTTTTAAAACGTCACCCGTCCCGAAAGGGTTAATAAAAATAATCAACCAACAACAATGGCACGATTACACGTAAAAAGCATCCAAACTATGGATGACCTACGCAAACGAAAACATGTCGTGATCAACAACACACAATACTAAGTGAGCGAATATCTTGCTCCGGCAAAAGTTCTGATTTGTTCAAAATGTTTTGAACTCGGACATTTTCGGAGTAATTGTAATGGAAAAGCTAAATGCAGGATATGTGGTCTGGAGGTGAATGATATAAAAAAACATAAAGAAGAAGATTGTGATAAACCACCACGGTGTATTAGATGTAAGGATGATCACGATTCAAGCGACTTGAGATGTCTACTGAACCAGTTACAAAAATATTTAAACAAGAACTAATTAATGTTCAAGTTGCTGCACCACAACAAATAACTACGACACCAATGTTTAAAAAGATAAAAACGTCACTTTATAATGCATGTAATAAAAGTTATCCTCCAACACCAAAGTCATTAAATGATGCAAAAATTGAAGGTAAAAAACATTCACTTTTATTTTAGAGCACTTTTTTATCTATAGTTCTGTCTTGAATTAGGTATATGGCGACAAACGTTAAATGGAGATCCTTTTCTACTTATTGAACAGAAACAACAACCAGTATTTGGTACATTATCTTCTCTTCAACAATTATGTAGTAGTGATCATCTATTTATGGATGGCACATTTTCATCATGTCCATCTCCATTCTATCAATTATATACCATTCATAGTTAGAATAATCAAATATCTATACCAAAACTTTATTCATTATTAGCCGATAAAAATCAAGGTACTTATACACATTTATTATCATCAAACTTCATTCAACGTACAGAGCAGACGTATCTTTTTTGTATGTATTCTGTACCTATTCACATATAGTTGTTGTAGTAGTTTCTTCTTCCTTTTTACTTCTATACAAATGTTGAGCATTTTTGAGCACGTGTTTGAAATTTGTGGGAAAAGTAAACTAAACTAAGATCGGGGATGGTTACCCCGAGAGGCGATACAACAGCTTCATCGCATCGAACTCTTTAGCTTCAGTGTTCACGACACTGAAGCTAAAGAGTTCGATTTCACGACGGAGAAAGTGCTCGAGAACATCGCCGAACTCTTCGCAGTCTGCGCCGAAAGTGTCAACGCCCGCTATCTTAGTACTTTGATGTACAAAACACTTCGACATCTGAAGCTCTCCTGGAGAGACACCGAGTCCCCGCTGAAGGCGATGGGTATTTATTTTTGCCTCCACCTTTTCTTGTTAAACACGCCTCTTTCCCTGTCTAAATGTAGGTCTATGTGACCGAGGACCTCCAGGAGTTCTGTGCTGACAGCCGTGGCGGCAAGCAGACCTCTGCCTTCTACGAGGTCTACCCCGAGCCGGAGATCCGCGGTCGACAGTTCGCCATTAAGGCAGCCAGCCGGAAGGAAGCCGGCTTTACTGTGGAGGAGCTCGCTGAGTACGTCGACGAGCAGTACTACCTACTCACGGGCGAGAAGAAGGAGACAGACGAATTTATCCGTTCAGTACAGAGTCTCCGCCTCGACTTCCGACGGTGGGACATTTACTTCGGGGCGAACAAGTTGCGCCCTTTCTTCATCGGACGTGAACGCCAGGGTGTTGTCGAGCATCGGACCAAGCTGGTCGACTATTTCTTGAGCCGGCAGAACCAGTACTACCGGATCGCTCAGAGAGAAGACCCCCAATGGATAATCCCGAGCTGCCCGAACTACGTCGTGCTCCTCTGGAAAAGCTTTGGCCCCTTTTCTAGAAATCCTCCCAAGACTCCGAAAGCACTCCCATCGTTTTCGGCATCAGTTTCTACCTATAGTCTGAGAGTTTGAGCCAGTTTGGATGAAACATGTGTGACTTACGAGGGAAGGTCACCAACTGCCACCTCGCTTTACAGCTCTAAGCTGGTGGGTAATAGGTAAAAAAATGTGCTGAATCCGAATATGACAATGGTTTGGGCCCCTAGGCCTCCAAAGACTGGATTTAAAGAAAAGCAGTTTTCCAGAAACTCCAAAAACTCTCCAAAACTTTTCTTAATAAGTTAAAATTGTAGCACGCGAAATTCTGATCAAAATGAGACATTGCCCAGCTCTACATGACATTTCTTTGCAAAGTTATGGA